AGGCTTCCTGCTAAGGCCTTCACATTTATAGGAAATATCTGAAATCAAATCCATTCTACTAATCAGTGAATAAGACCATTTTGACCAGTTCTTAGCTTTGGTGGAGCATGGTACTACACCTAACATATTTGAAGTTCATTTCAAGTAGAGAACTGCTAGCTATTGACACTCTCTTCTGAACACTCGTATGATTGAGCCATGTTCCACATGATTTTTCTATGTTTGGTGATAAGTGATTAAGGTTTAAGCTAACATAATGGAATTTCAAAGTTATAACCAATCACAAAAAGGCTAATGCCACCTGGCCCAGTAATAAAGAGTGTGAATGAGGGAGAGTGTCTGTAGCGCTTCTCTTTCATGCATATATGACTTTGATGCAGCAATATTCAAGGTAATGAGGTGATATATGTTACCTCAGACATTATAACCCATGGAATTCCTCCCATGCCAAAAGAAAAGGATCCAGTGTAAACCTGATAGCACAATGAAGCATTTCATCTATCAGTGTCACAAAGAATCGAGATCAAATCAAATGTCTGACATGGGTACTTAAGATTTCTGTACAATTTATCATCAGACTAGAAATTTAAAGTGTCCAATAAATGTACAACAGAATTCTGTTTGGTTAATTGTGCCTGTGGTGTGCATTTACAGAATAGGCTAATTAACAGGTTAATTGGCATTACCAGTACGCCAACAAGTGACAAAATAGGAGTGACCTCTTTCCAGGTTTGAAGATCCTGCAAGTGGGAGAGGTGAAGATTCCAAGAAATAACATATGCAACTAAGAGAAAATGATTCAAAGATAAGTCTGGTATCATTCAAGAACCTGCAATAAAAATGACAATCCAACAACGAGACAACCCAAGCATGTTCCAGCTGCAGAAATCTGTAGACAATAGAAAAAATCAGAATTTTCTCGACCAACATGTTCATCACAATTCACAGAACTGAATGTATCCTCAAGCTTTCCTACCAGTAGTAATGGCCTACGTCCAGATTTATCCATCAATAGAACTCCCAAGGCAGTCATCGGAATCTGCAGAAGATTATTAATCTTATAACAAAGAAACATGAAGCAGGAAACAAATTTCCAACAGGGGAAAGTCAACAACCTGAACAATAACCATTGCTATCATCCCAGCACTAGCAGAAAATCCTATCAATTGGAAGAGGTCATTATTTTTTATCCTTTCCTTTCAGGTTTGGTTAATACAGAGAATATTAATAACAAGCCTAAACATACCAGCCGATGTAAATATAGCACTTGAATAGAATGCAATCGCATTAACTCCTCCGAACTGTTGCAGTACCATCAGGCCAACTCCAACCTTAACCAGTTTTACATTATTCATTCAAAGAGCAACTCACAGGAAACAACTACAACCTCAAATGACTAAGTATAGTTTTAAAGCTTACAATAAGGGAATGAGCATATTTCCGCTGAAACAAATCAAAAACACTAGCTTCAGATAGCTGTTGAACTGTTTCTGTATAGTCCTGTAAATAGGAGAAAAACCCAACTCAATCTAAGATCTCTGATCTACTTAAATTGAAGTTCAAGGTCTCAACTCTTACACACATGAAAAAGTTTTAGAAATTACCCTAATCTCACTAGCTTCATCAGAGATATCAGCATTTTCTCCCCTCAGTCGTTGTAAGGA